CCTGCTGGTCTTTACTTCTGTACCGAGCCATGTAGGGCTCGTTAGAACAAAATTTCCAGGGGCCCTGACCCATCCCTCTCCTGGGCTCTGAGGGTGGGGTTTCCTCTGGCTGCACTTGAGCTAATAGTCACCAGCAGGAGACCTGGACTTTGCTCTGTTTGGTTTCTTTGTGGACAGAGTGAAGAGGTGATGGTCCCCCCCTGCAGACTGACAAGGCTCTGTATTGGCTTTGTGGTGACTGGAATGAAGTTTGAATTTGACTGCAGCTGCAGTCACTGTTAAAAATCAGCATTAGCTTCTGCTCCATTTCAGCTTGGCTGATACCTGCCAGCAGCTCCCAGCAGTGACCACAGTTTACACTCTGTTTCAAAGGAGAACTGAAATGGGATGGAAGTGCTCCTTGCCCCTGTCACTACTCAGCCCTTGGGGACAGCAAGATATTTCCATTTTTACAGCATAAGAGACAATCCCATGTTTTGGGACACGAACAGCAGAAGCCTTGCCTTTTTTAGTAGGATGTGTAGCTGGAATATGCCATGTGGAAGTTCCAGCGTAACACATGCCACTGACCTTGGAGAGCAAGGGGTAGAAATAATGTGTGTATGGTACACTGTGGTTTGCAGAGAGGCTCTTTCACATGCTGCTTTGTACCACCTGCGTCATACTGGCCTCTCTAGCTTAGTGCATTGGTTGAGATACAGCCCTGACTTTGCTGTGTTGTGAACTTTCTAATTTTGCTTTTCCTGTTGCATTTTGCATAATTGCAGGGGAGAGGTGATCTGAGTAATACTTTACAGTACCTGAATATGATACCTATCACTCAGGGAAGTCATAGGACTTTCCCAGTATTAATGGGCTTGTGATCAGAACTTTATTTTTACGTGTGGTGCAGTACATAAGGGAAGAACAGATCAGGCAGCCATGGCCCAGTTCTTTTGCGCTTACCCTCCATCCTGCCCAGAGGAACCCTCTGTCTTTCAGTTCCTCCAGCTGGTGCTTGCTGACTTGCTGCTTGAGGCTGTTTGAGTTTTAATTAAGAATGTGTGCAAAGTGCTTTGACAGCCTCAGGAAGAGGCTGCTATAGATGGGCCTGGGATTTGAATATTTTTTTTTTGTTTCACTTGTATTTCCCATGAGCTAGAATTGAATGTGAATTACTTGCATAGTTCATACAGATTCACCATCTGATGAAATGAAGGGATTCTCTTTAATAACTGACTTGTCATGACTGGAAGTCATCTGCTTTACTGTGAATAAAGATGGTTTTTTACCTCCCTCAGGTTCCACTGTCTGGCATCCCGACTGTAAGCAATCCACTAAGACTGAAGATAAGCTACGGGTAAGCTGAATTCGTGGCAATGGCACACCAGATATTTTGCCCACACAATAACTGAATGCTTTTTTAAAGAGTGAATTTTCCCATGTTTTTTTCACATAGCTGTCACTACTCTGGCAGAATAAACAGCGGAGGTACTTCAGAGGTATTGCTCTGATTTTTAGGCTCTCCATCTTCACATACCTGTCTCAGTGCACTGCCTTAAAGATAGTATCATTTACTGACATACAGACATGGCAAAGTCTCTAAACACTTCATTTCATATCTCAATTACTGGAAGAAAGACTCTTAAGGAGAAAATGTGAACAGGGCAAATGCTATGATATATTTCAGTATTTTTGCACACCTGTATAATTGCTTTATAATTATCCCCTGTTCTGCGTGGTTATTTACAGCATTTAGACAATATGGACTCTTCTTCCTTTGCCGTTGAAATAAACCCCAGCCTAAAGTGATCCTAATTTGAATACCAGGAAGAGCTGCTGCCATTACCCTTGGAATCGCCTCAGCATATCCAGACAAACTTTCTGGATCAAAGCCTTGATGGCAGTAGTGCTGCACTGATAAATGCTGGAGCCTGGCTTTTTGCGTGCATCAGGCAATTCTAAGCCCATATTCACTAATTCATTTTCTGGACAATTTACTCTTTTTGATGTCTCAGTTGGTCCTTTAAACTTTGATCATTTTTCTGGATATGAATATTAGAGACTGTATATGAATAAATGTCTTTCAGACAAGGAAACTTAAGAGTTACTGGCATGGAGATACATAGGATATGCTGTGAATTGTGATCTGTGTGTGGCTCATTCACAGGAAGCCACATCCTTTAGAATTTGTTCAGGTGCACTAGTCTGTTAAACATCCCCTGCAGAGCATTTACTATGATCGCAGGTAACGTGCAGATAAATCCATGTGGAGCAGAGTTCATGTCAGTGTGGGCTGTACTGATAACACAGAAGTATAATTCGCCCTAGATGGGCATGAGATCTAGGATGGCCAAACATCACTGTGGGTACCATCCAGCATTAGCACATTGTTCTGTTCTGACTTTCTGTAAGAAAATGGAAAATTATGCCAGACTGGATTTTCTTCCTCATTTAACAGTTTGAATATAAGATAGCATCAGAACACTTATGCTTTGTAGTGAATGGTTAGGGTACAATACCTCCCCTTCACTTGGACCCAAGAGTCTTATCAAAGCACTCCTGACTACACTGCAGCCCTTACAAACCTTCTCCAGCTGACCTTATAAATCCGTTGGCTAATTTCCACTCCCCATGGAAATGGCCAAAGTCCTCTTCAAGTATTTTCCTTTTCTCTGTCACACATTCGAGCATGTCAGTCTTCTTCCCCCTCAGCTAATTTTAATTGAAGTGAGTGAAGTAAATGAATTCATCCACCTGCAAGACTTTGCCTAAGTGAGTTCTTGGAGGAAAATGAAGCGAAGCGACAGAATGCATATTAAGGGCACATCTGAGTATGTTGTGGCACAGCTATCCAAGGCCACCTTGTTCCTGGATGAGAGCTTCCGTGCAGAGGTTTAATATGTCTTTAAAAGGCATTCACAAATGCACTGTACTGAAGTTAGCTGGAGAGATGGAGAATTTTTAGCTTCAGCTGTACATCACAGATAGTCTCTACTCCAGTGCAAAGTCAGACACCTTATTTTAAAATCAGTCTGAGTTCACTTTGACACGTTTCCTTCTGCTGACTCATATGAAGGCAGTAGCAAACAGGTAGGTACAGAAAAGAATGCAACTGGGGAACTATGTGCTATTTGAACATGTCACCGCTAAATTGCAAACTGTCCTTTGATTGACTTTCAGTTTCTTGATGACATACATTTAGACCTGATGTGAGAATCAGAATCTGGTTTGTGAATTGACAGATATATGATATAGCCACTTTCAGAGTCAGGCCTAGATTTTCTGGTGGTTCTGCAAAAAGCCAGTGACTTGGCCTCTTTGCTCTGCTGGGTTTCCTTTCCCTATAGAGCAAAACAAAACAAAAAGCCCTTTTATCATTGAAGTTGCTTTAGAAGTGTTCAGCAAGTTCTGTTTTCTCTCAGTAACTTAACTGTGGTACAAACTAATCAGCCCTCTAGCTGGTCAGGATCTGAGAGGGAGTTCATAATAACAACGGTTGCTTTAGATCTTCCTCCCACTGGGTATTTATGGAGGATTACAAAGCCAAAACAAGTACAAAATAAAGCAACCATACGTATGCTAAAAACATATATTGCCTAGGATTTTTTACAACTGTCTGGCGGTTCATGATTCTGCAGGGATTAATAGGTAACATAGATATTATAATGCATAGATTATCATCTAGCAAGTAGGTATTAGTAACTTGATTGAAAAAATGAGCTTAACCACTGAGCTGGGGAAACTGCTTTCCTTTTCACTCTTTTTTCCCTTTTGTGTTTCATGACAGCATTCCTCATCTGAGTTCTTTTATCCAAAGAGTCTGGTTCTGCGCAGGCCACGCTCTGCAGAGGTTTGCTGTTGTGTTTTCATAGTGTTGATAATGGTCTTCTTTACTGAGAAGATTCTTCATTATTGTCATTCGCTGCGCTTGCTGCTACTTCTGCCACACAGCTTTCCTGCTATCACTTGCCACCCTGGGCACTGACGCTGTATTTTGCATCATGTGGTGCAGTGTTGTTTGTTAATTCTCACAATTTTTTATTTTGTGTAATGAAATGCTTAAAATTATATTTATATTTTTTGTTAGATTCAGGTGAGCTTTTGGGGGCTGTGGTATTGTTCTTTCAGCGTTACAGAAAGTTTTTCTTCTAAAACAAAAAAATAGGGTGAATGAAGCAAATTAAAATGGCAAAAAGCATCTGACTTTAAAGAAATGGTTAAAAAGAAATAGTTTTTCATTAACAGTGGCTCATGCTTTTTTAAAAAAATGCCATCAGTTAAATCAGTTTCTTTTTATATGTATTGACCAATTACACATTAATACTTTAGTTGAGAAAATATTTACAGAATTCCAGGTTTGGATCTGCCTCTCTCCAATCCAGGGCACATCCATGTCCGAGTTGGGAGAATCCCGCCTGTCCTCTTGATTCTGGACTTTATACTTTCAGACTTCCTTGAGTTTGCTTTGCGCCTACAAACACCACCCACTTCCATTTCTTCTCCTTTAGGGCAGCGCTTATGTATTAGCTGTGTCTGCTGTGGGGGGACATATGGCTGTACTGCTTGCAGGCACACCTGAGGTAGCTTGCACTCGATAACGAAGTAAGAAGGTACCGGTATGGACTTAGTACAGGCTAGCGGTGGGCAGACAGGCTGATAGAGTCCGTGCCACTGGATTTCCATTGTGTCTGCTCGTGCTGCCTTCATGTCTCTTAACTGCAAAGCAGACATAGTTGTATCATCAGCCAGGGCAGGATATTTGTGCTAGATGCAGCCTGCAGGGTAGTGTTCTATGGTTGAATCCAGTGCTGTGATTCAGTGGCAGTTAATGCAAGCCCCCTGCCCTTTGTCCTGCACGGTACTTTACTCAGTTAACTTAGGATGTTGCAATGCATCAACCACTCTTGAACGTCGCTCTATCTGTTAGCCACAGAAATATGTATCAAGAAAATATAGCTATAAAGATGTGTTATCAGCACTCCTAAGGAGGACAATGTTTCTTCAGTCCTAGACTTTATGGAATCCATTGTTGGAGTCCGAGAACAGCAAACTGCGGGACCATTTCACTCCTCTTTTAGGCCAGTGTAGTGACTTTTTGCATTCAGCTTACCATGCACGAGTCTGAGTTTCCATTGTTGAAATCCAAGAGCCTTAGGATGAAAAAAATAAATCCAATCTAATGTATTAGAAAACTATGCAAGGCAAAATAGGAGAAGCTCACGTCAAAATAAAAGCATGTTCTCTTTCTTGCTTTGTAGACAGTGTAGGATACAAATAGCTGAGAGTCAGATGAATATCCTCTTGTGTAAATTTGGTCAGTATTAAAATCTGTTTTGATTTATGTGATGATTATACAAAGTGTAATTCAAGGCAGATTTTGGCTTCAAGTGTTGTTCTGCAGAGTAGACACAAAGATGCTATCATTGCTGTTGCTATAAAGATGGGCCAAAGGCTTGAAATGCACATTAAAATTGTAGGTTGAAAATTGTAGGGTGAAATCCTGTGAATTCTCTGAGAAGTCTGCTGTTGAATTCAGTATGTTCTGGTCTTCCCACATTTTCTTCTGCTTTCCACCTAACTTGCTCTTGGTGAAGGCTATGTTTGCATCAGTAGTCTTGTAAGAGAGTTTAAAGAGGTAGCAACGTGCCTTCGATGATTATGTGTTGAAAATTCATTCTTCTCTATAGCCTTTGTGTCTAGAAGGGAAAAAACATTAGTTGTAACCTATTAACATGTGTGTCTGTGTGAGTTTCAACTAAATCTGTTCACTAGTTTTGTCTTGATGCATACACAGTGTAGTTTTTTTAGGCAGAGAAATAATGAATGCATGCATTTGAAGGAGTCACTCTTGTAAGGAGAAGGTACAGCTAAACTAGCAGATGGGCACAATGAATGCTTAACACCGAGGTGCTTTACTGGTCTTGTACATGGCCACTGGAAATTATTGAAATCCATAGGAAGCCTTTGTTTAATGAACGCTGGTTCCAAGTCCTAAATAACTGTAAAACCGTGCAGTTTATGAAGCAGGTAGTCAGAGTAGCAGATGTTGTACTGAGAAATACAAATTCCTTGCTATTGCAAAGTTGTGTCTGCCTAGTAGAATAGGTTACATCCTAATCTTCTATTAGCTTATTTATAAACGTGCTTCACTTAAAGTAGCTTCTGAGGTTTAAAGAATTTGCTTAAGCTATAATGTTTAATGTTATTAAGTGAAAACATATTCATTCCTCTGCAGCTATTATCACCACCTTGCATAATGAACTCTATCAAAAAGCTAAGGCAGGTACTGTAAACAATGCTGACAATGCCTTTGTTAAACAGTAGTGCATCCATTTGGCCAGATGTTCTTGGGATCAGTTTTGATCTGGTTGCCTGCACTTTTAAGTTTTTATCGAGCATGATTCTGAACATCTGTGCCTGAGAAAGCCAGAGCCACCACATTGTAGCAGCATCTGGATGATGTGAATGGCTCTAGTGTGGATTTTTTTTTAAGTAGTTATTTATTTACATGATGTGCCATGCATGATGACTTGACAAACTGAGGTAAATGCAGATGAACATCTTAAGCTTTGCAATCTAATATTAATTACAAGTTAATCAGTTTGGGGCATATGCATGGGTGATATGATAATTGAGCGTTGAAATTCACAGTGAACCTAATAGGATGAGCATGACATTTGGTGTTACCTCCGCCAATCTGCAAATGAAATTGGTAAAGAACTTTTGCATTGAAGACAAATGCATGGAATGAAGAGCAGAAACATAAAAATAAGAAGTCTGTGATAAAGTTGGAAATACTGAAAGGTCTTGCAGGTAATTTAGATTGTGATCTGGTTCTTTCCTTGGGCTCCTTTAATGGCATAGATGAATTTCTATTGACTGAATTTCTATTGATTTTTTTCATATACTTCATAGACTTCCTGTATCTGGTACAGACATCCCATATTGATATATTTACTAATGTTACATCCATTTTGGTGGAAGAGGAAAGAAAAAAAGAGATGAGACTTCTGGCAGAAAATGTGGAGAAAGGTCATGCACCACAAGAAAAGAAAAAAAAGATTAGTTGTAGTTCTTCATAGAAATTTGCTTTAAATGTCTCCGCACAAAGGTGGCATTATGAAAAGCTCTATTTGAAATCTTCGGGAACAAGAATGATCATGTAAAGAGTGTCCCAGATCTGTTTGTAGAAGTAATGGAGCTTAACTTGTTTTGTTGCTGGGAGCATAGAAAAAGTGTCATAGGACTATTGCGATAGAAGGAAATAATTCTAAATTAATGCATTCATATTGAAGGGTGTTTTCATTAATTTCTTTACCTGTCTTCTTCCAATAATGTGTGCAAGAGATGCTCACATGGTATCTCCCCTGCAGGTTAAAGGTTAAATCAGGGATAGCCGCTATTCCCGTTTTACCTGTACTGTGATCAGCTCCCCTCTAAGGTGGAATTTGCACCCCACTGCAGTTGCATCAATTGAGAACTTGACCTCCAGTGTGTCTCTTGCCACCTATTTAAGACATAAAGTCACAACAGTGGTACACAGGGGCAGGGATTCTCGACTGCTAATGGAGATGTAATGTACAATCTAAAAGCCATACCCCGTCACAGATTTTCAGTCAGGAGCTGTTAGGCTCCTCTTAGGAGAGTAGCCAACCATAGCAACTAAAAATATGCCAGAGGAACAGCTTATATCAAGAAATCTTTAGTGTATGTTTGTTAAGGCAAGCAGCACAAATGTTTTTAAGTGCAATGCAATTGTCTTTAGAGGAAAGTGCAAAGCTGTGAAGGATTCCAGACCATGTGGGAGCAGCAGAGTAGGAAATAGCTATCCATCTGCAATGGAAACAGTCTGTCTAATTCAAAACAAGATATAGGGCAAAGTGAGGCAGGAAGGGTGAGCAGATGTAGAGGTCCTCTTTTTCATGCGCTGTCTTCAGGGGTATGTCGTAAATTTAAGCAAGATACAAGACTGGGGACAGATAGAGGAGCCACAGAGTTCCAGGTCTGCTTGGATTAAGCTCCTCGGAGAGGAACGATGTGTGCTGAGGCAGTGGCTGCCAGGATGGCATCCTACCCAGGAAACATGGAGCTTTGCAATAGACAGAAGGTAAAATTGATGTACGCAGGAAGAATTACAGAAAATAGAAAAGTGGTTTTAAAGGGTGACATATCTGGCTTGCAGATGTGTTAATGGGATGGTAATGAGGAACTTGAAGCAGAAACACAGTGAGGAAACGAAGAACAGGTGCTACAACATGCCAGTCCATCTGACAACTGCTCCTGTACTCCAGGGTCAAGAGCACCTAAGAAAGTTGTTAGCAGGATGTGGCTGAGACTATCTTCCTAGGGTGTCTAACTTTAATAAATTAACTGAAGTGATAAATACAAGTGAATTTTCCTGTGCTGAAAAGGTTTTTAGCAGTGACACTAAGAAATGAGACTAAGGAGATGGACTGAGGGCTGAGGATTTCTTGTTTTCTGAAGTGATTATAAAAGATCCAGAGCAAAGAGCAACTCAGAGGGCATGCCAAGTGGGAAGAAGCCCTAACTGCCTCTAACGCTTGTTTTCCTACGACAGGGAGAATTGAGCAGACAAAACTCTTAAAGTATGTCTGCCAAAAGCCAAAGGTAGCAGAGGCACCCCTAACAGTACCTCAACTACTTAATTCTGTTCCCTATGTTGTAATGAAAACAATTGTTTTCCATAGCAACTGCAGCAACACGTTACATGTGTCTCCACTCAGACAGACAGTGGTGTGAAATGGCAGAATGGAAGGGGGAATAAAGTGTTTCTCAACAACAGCCAGATTTTCCAGCTTAATTCTTGTAACACTTCCATGAAACAAGTGGTTGTTGGTGGTTTTTTTGCTTTGATTGCATCATGGGATGAGCTTAAGGGCAGATGAGAAATTTCTGTTCCCTTTTGGCATGTAGGAATTTGCAGCTACAGAGGGGAAAGGAAAGAAAGACATAAAGGTCCAGCTGAGAAAGTGTTCTCAGATATGCTCTGGAGAGGATTTGTGACTGTGTCAGTCCACGGCCACATCTGCTCTGTTTGATCTGAATCTTCACGTTTTTTGGTGGAACATGTTCAAAGCCTTTTATTCCTCTGACCCTCCCTGAATGTGGTGATTTCATTTCCACAAATGAAGTCCGAGAAAGCCTGCTGTATGATCCACAACTAGTCTTCAGCATTTTTATACTGATGGTTCCAATAGCTTTCCTGGCTATGAAATGAAAGGTAGAAAGACTCTGGGTTCTGTTGAAGGATCCTTTCAGGAAATGTATGCTGAGAGATAAGAAAGGTCCAGTAGCCTTGTTGTGTTCACTCCAGATACTTAATATGAAAAATCAGCAAGCCAGGCTGTCAAGCCTTGTTTCTCTTCAGTGTGTGCCTGAAGGTCCCTTAGTTCAATGTCACAAAGTGACGAGGTAAAGACTATTTCCCAAGATTCAATATTCAGTGACTTTGAAGCATCCCACTGCATTAGTGTTGTCAGTCATCTGCTGATGCATTGCTTTGTGGTGAATTTGGTTCTTTGCAGTCAATTAGGGAGCAAAAATTGTTCATGGTTTCCCAGTTGTGTCTGCTGCATGCCAAATTTAGGAGTAATTGCACAACAGCCCGGGTGACATTTGATCGAATAGATGTTTTTCAAATTCAGCAGCTTTTCAGGATCCCCACATGTCAGTGATAAGTTATTTTGTCGCCTCTCACAAAACTTCTCCCAGGGAATCAGTGTCTGTTTAGTCCTAATGAAGTGTTGGAAAATCTATTAAATGTGTAACAGCACTCGCTCTGTAGAGGTGTGACTGTTCTCATGAATTTCAGTTTACAGGACATTGTCATTAAACGTCAGGTTTTTTGCACAAATCATGACATTTCAATCAACAGTTTAGCTTTCATTTTGCATCTAGATTGTGCTGCAGATGTAGGGAACTACTCCAAGCCAAGGATTTCTGGTCCTTCTGCTTGGAAGGACTGAATTCAGTTCTGTATTCATAATGGAAATCCAGGGATGGAATAGCTGGAAAGTGATAACGTGTGTGCTGTGCTCCTCTCAACAGTTTTGTCTGCTGAACTGCTGGTACCTCTAGCTGTTTGTGAACTAACGTTTTGATAAAATGACCAGCAGGACTATTCTGGATTGTATTTTGTATGGCTCTTTGCAGTGTCTCTGGCAGGTGTTGTTTGATTTTTGTTCATTATTGTTGTCAGTCTTTTACACTGTACAATTTAGAAAACGTCCTTCCCCTCTCACAGCACTCCTTCCCTACCAAAAAAAAAGCCCACTTGCCTCACAAGATTGTGAAATTTGCCAGAATGCTTGCATTTGTGTTGACATTTTTTCCTAAATTCAGTTAATTTCAAGATGTATGCAGATTTCTTCACTAAAAACCAAAATTACCAATGTTAATGGCTTCAGGTTTCTGAAAAGTTACTTTTTGTTTTTCAGCCTACAAGAACATCATCAGAAAGTATTTATTCCAGACCAGGTTCCAGTATACCTGGCTCTCCAGGCCACACTATCTATGTAAGTATTCCTTCTGATGAATACACTGCTGATCCCTTGCTTGCACGTGAAAGACTCTATGCTGAAATTAATCACTTCTATACTGATGCTAATGCGTTTATTCTAATGGCTAAATTGTTAAAATTCACACCATTTGGTTGTATAACTCCCGCATTTCAAGAGCAGGGTAGGCCTTTCCCAGGTCACATTTCCCTTAGAAAGATAAAGTCAATCTCTTGAAGTCACTCAGTGATGTGAAGAGGGACAGAAGGCAGACAGGTCATTTGACTCTGTTAGGGGTTATGTGCACCTCGATAAGCAGTTCTTGAGAGATCTGCTGTCTGCAGTTGCAGGATGTGGGGAGGAGCATCAGCTACGCTACAAGAAGCCTGGCTGATACAACACCTTCTGTTTCCAAAGTCAGATGTTTTGGTTGTGGAAGGAAAGGTGGTTTTAGTTTAAGAACAAAAATTATAGTAAGCATTCTTCTTTTACTAAACTAACAGTGCTGAAAATGCAAAGCTATTGATATACTATTTTATTTGTGGTTCCCTGAGAGGTAGTGTTTAATACGATTCCTTCAGTAATCAAGCCTCCTCTTTCATTATTTTAGAGGATCTCTTTCACTTCTTGGCCTCATTACTGGTACCTTTTCAGCCTCTAAGATCTTAGAAATTAAAAGTGGAAATACATTAGCAGAAGATTGGCCCAAAATTTTTAAAGGAACAATGTTTTTCCCCTGTTTTCATACCACTTTTTCAGGCATTTCAGTGTTGTAAGCGTCAGTACCTTTTGGGGTTTTTTTTCTTGGCAGAGAAGTCCACAGGGTCAAAAAAAGTCATCTTTTGTGGTTGTACTAATCCAGTTCTAAGGAGAAAGAATATCAGCTCAAATGTACTTTGGTGAATAACAACAGCTCAGCCTTCTCAAACTTGCTGTATTTCCATGCATATAACCGACACTTCCAAAAATTTACATCCCTGTAAGAGTCCTGTTCCTTGAAAGTCCATAAAAACTTTGTCCTCATATAAAATACGCTGTCAGATAACCTGCGCAAAATCCAAGGCAGACGTGGAAGATAACAGCTAAGGAAGAAAATCCCAGGGAGGCGAGTTAGTGGGAGTGAGTCCGTTATGAGGGGAGCAAAGATGAAGGTATGCTGGGAAGAAGAGGCAGACTACAGGGCAGACTTTCTTTTCTGTTACCTATGCATAATGCTGAATCACTGATTTTATAGATAACCTTAAGATTATGTAGATGAAAATGTAGTGTAAAACACAAAAATTTATCGGTTACTTGTGTAATAGTGCAGAAAAATTACCAAAATTACAAATCTCAAGTCCTGAGTTTGTGTTAAATGCCAGTTGTTCAGTGCATTTCAACAAGAACTGAAAAATTAGCTGATATATTAAAAATGTTCACGCTGCAGATATCACAACAGAGCATGTCCTGGAGAGCTGCTGTTTTGCTGGGAATATCAACTTCATAAGGTGTAGCTTATGAAATGTAACTGCTGCTCAATAGCAGTCTGCAGGGCAGCGTAGTAGCCTACAGCGGGGTCTACAAAAATATCAATGGTAATTTATATTGTATTAAGAATATTTCTTAGTACAATATAAATTAATATTTCAGCCATATTTCCAGGTCATTAACAGACTGTGGTAACAGTATTACAGAAATAACATATATTAATATACCTACATATTTAAGGATTAAATTGGCTTAAGGTACTTTGTTATATCTGGTGAGTCAAAACAAAACAGATTTGAGGCTATTTTTAGAAACTGAACTTCAAACCTTGCTTCTCTATCAAAAAATGTTTTGTACTGTTTCTGCTATATGGCATTGCTTAAGAACCGCCAAGACCAGTGGCTGTTAGGAGACCTTGGGAAGGCAAATGCACTTAAATCTGAAAATACTAGGTGCTAGTACTCAGGAAGAATGGAACTGAATGTGAGTAGAAACAGATCAGCCTTGTTTCCTTGTGCAGCCTACTATGAATAAATCAAACACCTAGTAGAAGAGTTGAAACCCAATTTGAATATTCTTTTTCAGTTCTAATCATCAAATGTATTTCTGTAAGGTAGGTAAGAATGTATGATAAATTTTTTTAACAAGACTTCTTTTAAGTAAAGAAAGATATTAACTACCTCAACTATATGTAAGGCCACTTTCTAGCTCCTTCTGCAGCTGTCTTTGGAACTGATTTCCTGCTGCTTTTTTTTTTTTAACTTGTCAAGAGATCCTTGCAGTTTTAGTGGAAAAAATAGTCAATGTTAGTACCATGTAGTATGCAGTTAGTAAGCAATATATGCTTACTCAGAAGCTTGCAGGTTGAGTAACAAGTGCCATATAATAATTTCAGTTGGCAGTTTGGATACCCAGTCCTGACAAATAGTCCTGCTAGCCTTTTTATTTCTTTGTAATAAGTTGTATTTCCTCTCGTGTGCACAGTTACAAGTTGGCTTTCTGTCTGTGGTCTTCTGCATGGAATCCTCTCTGTAATCTGCAAACTAAGTTGATGTTATCACACATTTTTAAATATGGGAAAACAAGAACAGAAAGGTGAAAATACTTGCCTGAGGCCACAAAATGAATCATTTGTGGAGCTGAAGTTTCCAGCTCGCTGCTGGGGATAAGACATTTTTGTATTAGATCTCTATATGCCATATTCTTTCCTAAACTGAGAAAACTCTGTGTGCAGAGGAGGCCTATTGGAGAAGAACAAGAAGCAATCACTTTGCATGTGAAGTGCCAAGAAGGGTTTTCCATAGCAACGATGTGACAACAAATACACAAAAATCATGAATGGTATAAACCAGAAATTACTGATGCATTTGTGTAAGTTAATTTATCTTCTGTCTTTGACCTTCAGGCAAAAGTAGACAATGAGATCCTTGATTACAAGGATTTAGCAGCCATTCCCAAAGTCAAGGCCATTTATGACATTGAACGTCCAGACCTAATTACTTATGAGCCATTCTACACTTCCGCCTACGAGGACAGACAGGAGAGACAGAGTCTTGGAGAGGTAATGAACCAACAAGCAACCCATTCTGCTATAAGCTTTATTCAAAGCCCGCTTCGCTTCTATCCTCTTTTGAAACAGTTTCTAATTGACACTCCTTGATATTGTTGCTGCTGCTGTTCAAAGTGCTTGTTGTCTGTTTGATCTCAGTGTAATGGGAACAATCATGTGCAAAAGTGCACAATTAAACACACAATTAAACACCTACATTAACACCAGCCACTGGCAGAGGAATGGCAGGGGGGGGGTTGCAGACCTTCAGGCAAAAGTAGACAATGAGATCCTTGATTACAAGGATTTAGCAGCCATTCCCAAAGTCAAGGCCATTTATGACATTGAACGTCCAGACCTAATTACTTATGAGCCATTCTACACTTCCGCCTACGAGGACAGACAGGAGAGACAGAGTCTTGGAGAGGTAATGAACCAACAAGCAACCCATTCTGCTATAAGCTTTATTCAAAGCCCGCTTCGCTTCTATCCTCTTTTGAAACAGTTTCTAATTGACACTCCTTGATATTGTTGCTGCTGCTGTTCAAAGTGCTTGTTGTCTGTTTGATCTCAGTGTAATGGGAACAATCATGTGCAAAAGTGCACAATTAAACACACAATTAAACACCTACATCAACACCAGCCACTGGCAGAGGAATGGCAGGGGGAGGTTTGCAGCCTGCCTGCATGTGCATTCTCGTAACTCACATGGATATCCTAGTCTTTGGGTACACCAAAGTCCAGAACGTGAGGCAAAAGCCAACCTGGTATGCTGTACAGCATCGATATTCACAACTGAATATGAGGAATACCATGATGTTCTGTGGCAGTAAAAGGATTAAGAGCAGTGGGATGCTTTCTCTCACACATATTGAAGGGAAATGTATTTCCAGAGCACTTTGCCAGACATACTGGATAAAATCTGAACTAGGTGAGGATGAAGCACTCTTCCACCTGGGAAAGCAGGTTAGTTGCATTATGGAAGTAGCTGCCTCACATTTTAAACTGCTGACATTTAGTAAGGATTCTTGTATCCTGAATGATCTAATTTATTCTCTTAAATGTAAAGATATCTTTCAGGTTGTAGGGTCCCCCAGTTTTCTCCGGTGAACTTCCATAGCTGCCATTACTATTTACATGGTTCCGATGCAGATTGTGAAGCAGGTTTTGTCATGTAAAACCATCTGACTGTAAATCAGACTTGCAGAATGCAAATTTAAATGGACAAGGAAATGGATTTACTTCCTTGCAATCTCAGTGACTTTACTGACCTTAACTGAATTGAGTGTGAAAATGAGCTGAGGAAAAAGGAAGTACAGTAAACCATTCAGGCACCGGTGGTCTAAGGATGCCCAGATTAGTGACTGATAATTGGCTCTCTTAGCAACAGATCAGAGCTGCCTTAGTTTTTCTGCTTTGTTCTTTAATGTTTTGTAGGGTCAGTCTTTTAAATTATAACGTGAGTTGGAAATTCAGGAGACTGTTCAGCTCAGGAATAAGATGAGAGATAGCGGGCCAGAATATTATAGAATTTCCCCTCTCAAATCTATCTTGGTAGCGAATCCAGCTGACGTGGTTCAAAACCACCGTGAGGTGCATTGGTGACCTCTGACCGGTTCCAGTAGCCCTGATCCATTCCACAAAACCCTCTACAACCACAAGTCTCTTGTTAGTCACAGAGGAGGAACTAATCTCACCCAGAGAAGGTGAACTATTTGTTAATCCTTAAGGGGACGTTTCTCACTGACAAAGCAGTATGGTGAAAGCTGATAAAGCCGTATGGTGGAAGCTGTCTGCCGTAACGCTTGTTCTGGGGATAAGCAAAAGCCTTTGGGGATTTCTTACCCCATATTTCCACCAGCATTAAATCCAATTGATTTCTGGTGACTACAGAAATTTGTTCTGGAAACAGAAGGGCTCTCACCTTCTTTTCAGAGGATCTGGGTTTTCCACCCAATGCTACTGCTGACTTCTGTCACCTTGGGCAAGTTACCTCACCTCTTTGTACCTGTTTCTCTTCCCTTCCCTTGCCCTAATGAGAGCACAAGCCCATTGGGGTAGAGTGATCTCTTACTTTGTGTTTGTGTTGTGGTAATCAAGTGACACCTCAGTCTTGGTACATCATACATCAGTCACCATCATCTTTAAAAAGCAAAGGAGGTGACATGTTTTGTCTTGGCAGGGATTTGCAGACTTTGAGTGATTTAACCTGCATTCTCCTTGCAAAGTGTGTGTATGTGGTGGTGTTAAATAGAAGGGGACCCTGAGTTTAAGCTTGTACACTAGAAATGCCCTTCACCCCGTTTAAAAAAAAAAAAAAAAAGAAAGAAAGAAAAAAATCACAAAAGTCATCTAAGAAAGATTTCTGGGTGTACAAGGGAGATGTGCAAGAGCCACCAAAGTTAAGTCAGTAGCAGAGAGAAACCTTAATTATAGGGATGGGCTACAAGAAAATTATGTACTTTAGCCATAGAAAGTGAGAAAACATAGCATGAGAGTTTCTTCTTTATTGCAATGGAAGGGAAATGCTTTGAAAAGTTTCTCACTCATAGTCTCTCTTGTTCAGTTAAATCCTAGTCTTGTTTTTCTGGAAGTCTGTGATACAAACTCTTCCGCAGAGCACCATCTAGTGGGACGAGGCTGAACCAGTTACAGATCCCCCAGCAGGTAGTGGGGAGGAGAAAGGGAGCTCTTGAAGAGGAGGTTTAGCTTCTAATATAAAAGAGATGAAGAGAAAGGAAATGAGATCTGTAAATAAATCTGCTGCTGACACTGACCCTTAATTTAGTGATAAGGTTTCCAGAAACTGGCACAGGTTCTTCATGTCCTGTAACTTCTGCCCTAGCAGCAACATGGCTAGCACTGGAATCATCCTTTCTCAGCTCTGACTTTTGCTGCACAAATATGGAGAGAAGCAGGATTTTCCCTGCGTGTCCTTTGTTTCTACTCTTCTGTGTCTGTTGAAAATATTGAATGTGTGTAACAACTTCCGGTGAACAGGCTGTCGTAAAATGAGAAAAGTATTTTTTCTTATGCGATAGATGCTTCAAAATGGAGCAGGCATTCTACCTGGTACTTTAGTAAAATGACAATTAAAATGAGGTCACTGCGAAATGCTGGAACTTGTGTTATAAAATGACATCTGTAAAAGCACAGGAATTTCCCCGAGCACAGAATGACCTGAACAACTTTAGGCATTAGAGCAGCCCCGTAGATCTCAAAGTGATAGAGCATTGAGCCTGTTGCAGTAAGTAGAAGTTTTACTGTAAATTTGGTCAGTACGGGCTCTCTACCAGACTTTCCCGTTCCTTTTCCCGTTCCTTTTCCCCCTTTTCCCTTTTCCCTTTTCCCTTTTCCCTTTTCCCTTTTCCCTTTTCCCTTTTCCCTTTTCCCTTTTCCCTTTTCCCTTTCCTCACTTTGTATTTCCACTGGCTTACTACTCAGGAACTGAGCTGTTTCTTCTCAGTCAACTGCGCAGTGTGGTTTGAACTGACTAGTGTAGACTTCTGTGGTAGACCAGATTTTAAAAGACCTCATAAACCGTGAAGAACCAAGCACTCCTTGGCAGACTCAGAGTTTGAGATAATGGCAGTTCACCTGCGCATGATAAAACTGTAAGCTGGCTGCAGAGTGTGGTGCCATTTCCCAAAAAGCAACAAGATGATGTCAGATAGTGGTGGAGTAAAAATACATGAAAGGTTGGTCATGGATTCAGCATGGTACTTTCTGGGATGCCTTCCCAGTCATAGATTCCTCTGGCTACCTTTTACAGTAGTTACTACCTCAACATCTAGGCAACCACAGCAGATTATAGAAATGTGTTTCTTTACAGTAACACATGAATTACTAATAGAAAAATGTGGGAACGCACATCAGAACATGTGCTTCTTTCACTTGTATCGGAAGTTTTAGAATAATTCCCAGTTGTTTTTGTGGAGAATGATGCTGCAAAGCACCGTGTACGACACGTTCCATGTGGAGAAAAGTTTTTATGGCTGCTGCTGTTAGACCTATAATGAAACAGTGGTTTGCTGTATAGAACTTGTGCAGTCATAAGGATTAGGAAAACAAGAATGTAAAAGACATTCAAGGCTTTAGAAAGTAACAAAAGCAGTCTTTAGAGAGCTTTATGGAAACTTGCTGAAAAGGAGATGTTCTGTACCCAAATAAAAATGTCACTCCTTTGTTCGGATACTTCGCCTTCACAGTGTCATCAGCTCCACGAGAGTTAATGATCTCTCAGTGCCAAATGTATAGCTGGGTATTTATTACCAGAAATTCTGCATATGTTTTACACTACTGCTGTTGTATATTACTGTAACAGTTAGACCAGAATCAGCAGTTTTGCTTCTGAGACATTATCTTAATAGCTGTATAGTTCTATAATAATTGTGGTCTTATTTAAAAGCATAATCTCTTGCCCAGTCTGTTATGGCAATTAAATAATATTGAAGTTTAGTGTGCAAGGAAAATAATTAAATCCTGATCTTCCAGCTTCAGACTGTCTTATGATTAAAGGGTACATAACTGGTAATTATACACAGCCTTTATTCTTTTTTGTATTATCAACGTATGCATGATCTTATGCTTAATTTCTAAAGGAATTTCTTGCCTCAGTTTCCCTATCTCTGTAGTAGCAACTTTTCATAATATTGTGCATATTTCTGCCCACTGGCCTTTGTGCAGTTCTTTCAATATACACGCCTGTAATTCCTGTCTATTCTCCTTATGTAACCATGGAAGAACACAGAGATTTAAAGGAGATCATATCAAAGAAACGTTGATGACAACTGCGTACTCCTTTGCATGGGTATGAAATTTAAGGCCTTGGGGAGAAGCGCATTTTTGCCAGACTCTGTGTGTTGGAGGAAAAACATGCTTCATCCTGGAAGTTATTCTGTATTTCTGATGCCATGCAAAGCTCTGAGTTAAGATTATTTACCTTTGATTTCCACTTTAAAGATTTCTTTGTAACAGGCGTGGTTATTAAATTAATAACCCTTTCTGATTTTGATCTTTACAGCTATGTTTTAATTACCACAATGATTAGATGGCTGAGAGATGATGGTGCATGATATTTGACTGAATTAATCACACTTACAAAGATTCTCCCAGAAACTTTTAATTGCTTCAACAATTTATGGACCAGTTCCTGACCAATGTGGAAGAAGCAAATTCCAGTGCTGCAATAGCCTCAGTAATTTCTGCATTGCCATTTTACGTTGCCATATATCCGTGTATCTGCAGCAATGTTTAGATTGCCATTTTCTGGCCCAGCACTTACAATGATGTTTCGGTAACCTTATTTTTATGTCTTTGCAGTCTCCAAGGACTTTATCACCTACCCCTTCTGCAGAAGTAAGTTTGGTGGAACCTTTGGGGGCAGTATCTTACTGTGATTAGAGTTATTCACTTAAGCAAATGCAGGTGTTGATTTTGCTATCAGTCTGATCCATGTCTGTTTGCCACATAGACATGTTTTCTGAATATTGAAACTTAACAAAAATTAACTATAAAAAGAAAACATTGAGTTCTTACTGACAGATTGTGCAAAAAAATGAAGCTACCACTCCTACCCATTCGTTTTCTATAAATCAGAGTCATTTGTCCAGCAGAGGTCACTTCTTGTACATTCATCCTTCTGGTGGCACCGGCAGTCTCAGATCTCAGGAGCTGGATGATTTACATGAGCTAAAATGCTGCTTTAAGCATCTAAATAATAAGCCATGTTTGCTACTAAAACATTTGCACTTTTGTCTTCAAGAAAACATAATTATGGTTTGGTTTGGGTTTGCTTTTCCCTGGGAGTTAATTGGAACATCACAATGACATGAAACGTTTGGGAAGTCATTTGTCAGGATACAATAGATGCCACTGCAGAAGCATTGTCATTTTGGGGCTGGGGCGTGTTGCTTATTGCAATGTAAAAGCTGTAGTAATTGCTACATGCTAAAGAAGTGACTCTAAAATTTCTTGTAAGTCTTCACTCATTAACATCAGTCCCTTCCCTCTTGTCCTGGTTTGGTTTGCTTTATGGGGTTTTGGGGGGATGGTTTTTTTGTTTGCTTTGAGGTTTTTTGGTTTGGGTTTTTTATCAGCTTTTTTTTCCCAGGAAACCAAGTAAATTGAATTATATACGAGAAGGTGTCATGTTTTCAGATACAAAGGGAAACTAATTTTGATTCTAAATACCTCTTTATGCAGCTAGTCAAGACACCTGGTAAATTAAGCCACAGAGAGCTCTGTGCTGCAGCTATTGAGCTCTTGCTGGTCTCCAAGTCAGCTAGCTGAAGGCCAGCCCGTGTGTCTTGTGCAGTACACTGCGTACTCTGAATGTACAGACACACTCTGAATGCAGCTTCCCTTATGGAGTCACAGGAATGTGGGCAAATCTAGAATTACATAGAATTTAATAGAAATTACAGGTGGAGTTGGAACCTTCCAAGACTGAACTCTGACCCAGACTACAAAAATGGATTGGAGGCTTTGGAACAGAGTGTTAGAGAACAGTGATAATGAAGTAGGTTGAAAGCTTAAGGGATATTGTTATTTCAGTAGCTTCTGCTGATGTCTTCAGATCCATGAAAGTTAAGTGCTGCTAAAAATGTGTAATGTACATTTACATTTATTAGTCAATGCTTCTATTCTGCAGGGTTATCAAGATGTTCGGGATCGCATGATTCACAGGTCTACTAGTCAGGGCTCCATTAATTCTCCAGTGTACAGTCGTCATAGCTACACACCCACCATGTCACGTTCCCCTCAGCATTTCCACAGACCTGGTAAGGGCAACTGCAGTAGAAGTATATGTAAGACTATTCTTTCTTTAATGTCTCTTAATGGTGCAGCGAAGCGGTTGTTTCTCTTAGCAGTGAAAATTTAGGATTTTTGCATATTTTAATATCCCCTTTTCTACCCTTTTTTTTGTTCTTGATCGATGCAGTCTTTTGTACTAGGCTGATGTGTGTTTCTTACATCGTAAATGTGGATCTTCTGGTTTTGTTTCTGATTAATTATTTTTTAAATCATTGTGTTTCTGAAAGCGAGCAAAAATTTGCAGCAGTGAATCACAAACTTCATTCTGGAATTTGGGAAGAGTATAATATATTGGAAACAAAAGTTATTGCTTGACTATACAGAAGTCAGCAATGTAGGATTCCTCCCTCCTAAAAAACAATTCATTTAAAGCTTGGTGCAGCCACGGTATCTCAGATTCGGCACCAAAACCCCCAGATATTCCAAATTGCTAGTCATTTTTCAAAACATAGACTCACGGTTTGCAAGGTAAATTTCTTAATTAAAGCCATAGGCAATTACCTAGGAACATTTAAGAAACACAAATGTCTTTTCCTGGTTTAGCAGTGATGTACAAGTTCTGTGTACAATATAGAAAATGTACAGGTCATTCAGGTTCCCAGTGCATTCAAAATTACTGGTTGTGAATATAAAAGCAAGATATGAGAATGAACTGTTCATCCACACCCAAATGGCATAAAAATTTATCTCTAACTGCTAGTCATTCAATACTTTTCAAGACTGATTTTATTGTTTATGGTAATGAATTAAATCTTTGTGATCCATTTTTAAATTAAGTGATAACAATCGTGCAGTTCCATCTTCCTTGGTGATTACAGCTGAACAGTTGGGATGCCAAAACCCCATATACAATAGGAGCTGCATTTTTAAAATTAAAGATTTATAATAGAGCCACCACTGTGGAACTTGAATGCTGTAGCCATTTCCTAGTGGGGGTGGGCTGAAAGCAGCTAATTGTGTCTGTCAGTGAATGCCTTATTTAAAGGACCCAAAGGAGGTGGCACAGAAGCAAATTGTGTCTGATACTTAGTACTGACAACATGACTGCATTTTAAGATGACATTACAACTGAAACCAAAAAAGACTTAAAAGCGTGAAAAAGCTGCAAACTTCTGTCTCTTGATTCTGGCGTTCTGAGGGGATTTTTCCATTTGTATCAGTCGTATCAGGGATAAGAACAAATCCAGGCCCTGTTCCAGACTTTGCTGTGATTGAGTTTTACTGTCTGTGTTCAGTCAAGGACCTTCCCCAGAAGCAGTCTCTGTTTATGTAAACTCTTGCAATGGGCGGATGGGCTCAAGCCAGAGTTTGGATCCAAATGTAAAATCTTCAAAGTTTGCAGCCTGAGGGATTTTTTGAGAAGATATTTGTTCAAACTTATCTCTGTTCAGATGATCTCATCTTTGGCTCACCTGTTTCTGTTTCTCATGAGACACAGAAGTAATTCTGTAGAATTTATCATTGTGATCTTTGCTACTCTGCCTTGGGGTAATTGTTAATGCTACTTTATAATTTTCCTACAGTGATTATTCATGTTGAATAGTAGCACATGTATATTTACCATTTTTCTCCTAATGGCACTTCTTATCATCATGTTATTTGCAAGAATAATTTCTCACTGAATAAAACCAGTGGCCCCAGGTGACTTCTCTTTGACTCCCAGCTAGCCCTTGAGAGAGAAGTGAACCACTGTGTTGACGTTGTCAGTATAAGGTTCTTCAAAAATCTGAGTGCTACAAGTTTTGAAAAAGTTTGCAGCCTTTTCCTCCTGCAAGTGCCCTAGCTGATGTTGGCAGCATTTTTGGAATGTCTTAAAACAATAGAAAACAGCTTGCATGCCTCTTGACTGACATTTTTTGGTCAGGCACTTTTCAAAACAGCTGCTTTCTTAACTAATTGAGTGTCAATGTTTGTGATGTTTGCATGCTGGTAGCAGGCTACTTTTTGGTAACAAGGCATAGATCAGAAGCTCATTAAGCCAGTAAATGTTACGCCAAATTAGCGATGCAGTTCAAATCTGAGCCTCTCTTCTAATACTTCCTGTAATTTTGTCTAACATTTATGAACCCTTTGGTACGTCTTTAACCTTTTTTTTTTTTCCTCCTTCCTTCTTTTCAGAATCCTAATTGTTCAATGCCTTTTTTTTTTCTTCCTTTGAAGCCTCCTTCCCTGCCTTTCTCTTATTGTTTTTCTTTGTTTTCATTTTGTTCTGCCCCCCGATTCCCTGCTGCCGCAGAGCTGCTCTCTACTGGTGTGCAGCGGTTGTCATACCTGCGCACTAGCAGTCTCAGCTCCGCTCACCATGACTCCCGCCCCAACTCCCCCTTCCGACACCACTTCATCCCCCATGTCAAAGGTAAGGAGCCAGGCCTCCCCAGGGAGTACCCTCCAGGCTGGAGATTTATTAGCATTCTGTCAAAGCTAATAAGGTGTATCTCCGTAAGGCTGTCATTGGCTGTATAGCTGAGCATGCCTTGAAATGTGCTGTTACACTTAAAACTATGTTAGAATAGACATAATGTCCTTTTTTCAGAGGAAATATGTCATTTCTAAGGGCCCTAGTTGAAGAGTCATCAAGCAATTACATATTAGAAATATAAAGGAAAGCATTATCATTTACTATTTAGAACCTATATGTGCCTAATTTACCTTCCTTCTAAAGCAGCACATAACAAACACTACAGCAGTTGGCATATCACATTTAATTATTATTTCCACATTCTTAAAACATGCATTTAAAAATTGACCACAAATATTGCCTGGATGAGAGCAAGGTGATCAAAAATATAGAGAAGAAAAAAAAAAGGTTATATAAAGATCAATGGCAACAAGGAAGTTAATCATTGTTAATTACATTGGCAATAATTAATGCCCAACAAAGTAAAACTAAAACCTCTAGGTCTCTCCTCAACTAGTGAGAATCGGCAGACTCTGCTGAAGGCAGTAGAGTTGCAAAGATTTACACTACCTGAGGATCTGGTCATTCCTCTGTTATTTTCCATGGCTTGATTTGGGGGAGGGTTGTTCCTTCATCGTGTCCCTTCAAGAAGATCGTTCAGCTCAATAAGCTTTTAGGTTTTTTTCTTGCTTTCTGTGAATGTGGTTTTACTTTTATTTCTATTGGAGCACTCTCTGGCTGTGCTGTCTCTTCTGTTGGGGGAGAAGGTCATAGCTTATATCACCTACAAGAGCCCAAAAAGAGTCAGTTGAGTAAGTTGAACATAGATTCTGTTCTGCATCCACTGATTAATGTAGGTAATCATAAACTGGAGATAATCAAAAACAGTTGCAAGGAAGTTGTTGCCATGAACTTTCAAGAAATGCTAATAGATCTCAACGTTCTAGCTCTTCAAGCATTCGGATCACCATTACTAATTTTACTCTTGCCTTTTCTTAGCTGATTTTTGTTAATATGCACTTTCAACTTTCCTATTATGTCACTATTAAAAAAATAATCTCACTTCAAACTTAAAAGATTGGGACCCTTAAAAATAGATACACTGCTCATTTCAGCATGCAGTTACTTCATAATCCTTGCAATTTCAACATTACTTTGCTGTAAATCCAAAGTAATGCTCAACTCTTTCAAGTGGCATTTTCATTCTTTTTCTGTTGAGAAAATAGCTTCTTCAACAGATAAATCAGAAGAACTATTGGAAGTCCTTTCCTCTTGTTTTCAGATTTCAAAGAATTACCTGACATGTAAAATAGGTATGTATCTCAGTTGTCGGTACCAAAGGCCAAGTGGCATTACAAGCACTAGACAAAGGGGTGTGGGTATGGTTCTTACCAGATATGTCACATAAGACATTATAGGAATCCACGATTTTCTGAAAACTTTACATAGAGGTATTGGGCCTGGACAGGATTTATGTGTTGTAACTCAGCAAAGCTCCTGGAAGCTCAAGTTCATACCACTGTGATAGTGTGTACCATCCGAGGATGTGGTACATTTGAGAAGGGGCAAGTAGCAGGTACCCACATCTTCTAATTCACATGGCTGAATTGAAAGAGTATTTTCTTAATAGTTGGTTGAGAGAAAGAAGCACCTTCTTAAGGTGACCTAAGTTTCATGCCTAGGTTAATGTGGTGGGAGTATCTGCAGGGCTTTCATTTCTTTTTGCTTTTTCTCCCTGTGGAAGAAGATGACGACTCAAAAAAACCCCAAAAATATACTTCTGTGTTTCAATTCAGCACTGCAAGCTGAGTTCCCTCAGAGCATTGAGACAAACTCAGACATTTATAAAATGTACACAGATAAAGTAATTTGGAGAATTTTTGGTAATGATCTGGAAGAAAACATGGAATAGTATTGCAGGGTTCCCTGATAACATGGAGACTGGGAGAGTAGTAGTCAATAAAGAACGTGAGCAACAGTTTTCTCCGTGAACAGTGCAGCCAAACGTAAGCTTCTAGGTGATGTTGTCCATCTGTACATGCTGGGGAGAGCAGGGACTCTGAAGAGGATTTGACTGTTCAGTGGATGTTAGGATGGGTGGCTAGGACAGCAGAAAGAGATGCTGCAGCTAAAAGAGCTAAGTAGAGATGTTAGGTACTTGAATAAGATCTACAGAGAGTTGAATTGGTAGTTCCACAGTCCCAGCAGGATGGGTGACATAAGAAACATTGCAGAAGCTTTAGAGAAGGACCGTCAAATAATTCCAGATCTCATAGTGAAAAAGTTATGGCTGTTAATGTATTAACACTATCAAATAGAGGGTTTTGGTAGTGATTTGTTCAGTGTCTATGTACCTGTACGGTAACAGAAGGTTCTCCCATATAGCAGGCAAAGATACAAAAATATCCTGTGTTACACTTAGATAAAAATCATCATTATTTCTCTTGACTTGTTTAAGGTGAAGATAAGTAGCTATTGAAACAGCTTAGGAAAAAATTTTTGTCTTCCCATTACTGCAAAATGGTACAAAACGTCAAAAGGCCTGAAGACCTTTGTAATTTTTCCAGC